CCCGCCTCCTGCCTGACACAAAGAGACAGAGACATGAGGATCCACAGGTGAATATTGAGCAGTTAAAAGGCTTTGAGAACAGATTATTTACCCCGCCGCAGGCAGCTGTGTGGTACATGGCAGGAAAGAGAATCTGCACCTGAAACAGTAAACAAAATCAGCTGTACTGTGACTGCACACTTTAAGGATTTTTACTATAATTTACTTCCCCACATTTTCTTTCTACCACATATTATTTATTATTTAACATTTTCAATATGTTAAAGCTACACTATGTCATTTTTGGTCATCTAGTGGCTGAAGGATAAAACTATATGTATATGCATAAATTATATGTATATGCATTATATGTATATATATATAATGAGGATTACAGTGTAATATATGTATATGCATATTTGCATTGCTTTTGACTACTTTCTCTAGGTCACATGCCGTGATTGGTTGATTATGTACAATGCCTCCACACTATTGGTCAGACTACTGTTCAGTAATTACCTTTAGCAAATATGAAAACAGTAGGAAGACAAAGCAAAAACAAGAAAAAACGCACAGAAGAAGTATGAAAGTATGCCTTTAATTGGGAAATTCATCCCAACAACTCTAAAATACAAACAATTATTATAGGCTTACCATAGGGATTTAAGGACGAAACACTGTTTGGAGGATGGTTTTAAGTTGTTCTCACTCATTATTAACATTTTGTTAATTTCGAACAGAAATAGTTACATAGTGTAACTTTAACATATATTTAAATATATGATATATTTTAGGGTATGTTTACACAACAACGATTATACTAAAAACAGAAAAGTCTTTCCTTTATGTTTTTGAAAAGTTACGTATACAGACGACAATGTTGTCAAAATGGTCCCAGTTTTCACAGATCCGCGAAAATGATTAAAAATGCTGTATTAGGCATGCCATGCCAGTAGTTGGCAATGTCACTTTAACAAAAAAAAACAAAACACTATGCACCTACAAACTTATGCATTCCAATAGACTGAACAGGTCATCTGCATGCACATGACATCATTGTTTTCATAAATGTGTGTTTTTGTAGTCTGTATTGTTTTCAAAAACTTGTACTTTGAAACCCTTTTTTTTTTGTTTTTAATGTTTTTAATTGTTTGTTTTTTTTACCCAAAAAGTGAAAGCTCACCTGTATTCTGTCTGGCCCATTGCCACACCTGTAATCCCTGCAGGTAACAGTGTATGAGGAAATCTCCGCCCACAGGTGAAAGGGGAGGAGCCTCTGCAGCACCATTACTCTGTCCGCTACTGTCATCCACGCCATTACTGCATTCACACATACACAAATCAACACACGCACTATAACAGTTTCAGTCATACTTTAAATTTGTGCATGTGTGTGTGTTTACTTCTCTATTCCTGGATTCTCTGGTGGTTTTCTGTCTTGTGCCTCACAGAGTTGACGAAACTGACAACGTACCTCCTCCAGCTCCTCCTAAAGAGACAGACACAAAAACATAACTTTGACAAACACATAGGCTCCAGAACAGATTTACTAGACAGGTGTGTGATCTCACCTTGAGGGACAGCACCAGACTCTCTAGGTGAAGGGCGCGCTTGTTGCAGCCATGTCTTGTGTCCTCCAGCTGGCTCTGCAGCTCAGTGTCTCCCTGCTGAATCTGATTCAGCTCCAGCAGCGCATGAGAAAACCCTGCCCGCAACTCACACACCATGCCCTGAACCTGAACACAACATATCAAATGAGACTGATTTTAAATCATTTTATGCAGTTTGCACTGTCAAAGAACAGTTTCTCTCCAATTTAATATTTTAGAACTGAAAATAGCTAGAAATGTCCATGATTTTATACTTGCATTAATTTCCATGACATTTTCAGGCCTAGTAATCACAAGTAATTACACACACCAACTCAAAATTTATTTTAAACAGACATATAATGTTTACAATGCTTATATAAGTTTCTTGTTATTTCTCAAACCTGTTGAAGAAAGTCTGTGTGTGTTAGTTACCTTAGAGATCTCTCTCTCCAGTTCTCCCTCATGAGATTTCATTTTCTGTGTGAGGATAAACAAACATCATTTAACAGTCTCAAAGGCTTGTAAACATTCTCTGTTGAGATGCTTTTTTTGAGAGGTGACCGACCGCGGAGATTTATGTTGGTGTAGTAAGACGCACAACAGTTCAGTTCTTGTCTGATGCTTGCTTAGCAGCCATGGTCATCTTATTTAATCTTTTTAATTAGTCACTGTACAAGAATAGTAAACTAGGCCTATGATCGTCTTGCCCATTTTATGTGTTTTATTCACTACAAGAATACTATGATCATCTTATCCATTGTATGTTGTTTTGCGAGGTTAGTCACCAAAGGAATAGTAAGCCAATATCAACTTATCCATTTTTAACAAGTTAGTCATTACAAGAATAGTAACTTATGATCATCTTATCAATTTTTTAACAAGTTAGTCACTACAAAGATAGAAAGCTATCCATGATCATCTTAACCAAATTTGTCATCACACGAATAAGAAAACCTGAAACCACCCATTACCTGAGAACAAAACGTAACAAACATAATAAATAATGTTGTAAAGATCATGTAAAACGCAGGGGTTGTGCGAGTGTTGTATGTATCATCAGCTCCGTATAAAAATACTGTTTCTATTAAATGTGAATCCAAGGCGCGCTTATGTTTTTACCTAGAGCTGGTCGCCCTGTCAGCGAATCCCAGGTGGGGGAAAAGATACCTGCCAAAGAGCTCCACCCTACAACAGAGAGTGAAAAATATTAATAAATGTTTCTCAAATGTATTTCCATAATCTTCACTTTTCTAAAACAGTCTTAAATGAAAAGCCTGTAAGACTAAGTAGCTCATCAAACATGCAAGTAGCAGCCTGAAAACGACACAAAAGTAATTCCAAAAATGCCGCAGCAGCCTATTCATAAACACAAATCTTAATAATCAAACTAAGGCTATTATTATTAATAATACTAATAGTAAGAAAACTGACCGTATGCGCAGCGCGCGCTCACTCACCAGAGAGAAAATCTTCAAGATTTATTTTTAAGTTTAAATGTTATTCCATTTCTGTGACATAGTGACGGCCTCATGTTTTTGTAGTTCACTCTCTCCCTGCGCTCTCGTGTTCCGGTGTCCGGTATATCTGGTGTCGTGCACTGCGTCTGTCTGACTGCGGTAGGAGAGGAGGAACGGAACACGGACTGCGCGCGCCGTCCGGTGTCTCGGGAACGTTCACTCACGCGCTCCTGCACAGTCAGCAAAAGAGCAGTTTATTATTCCACTCACATATCAGAGGTCTAGAATGAATTGAGATTGCTAGGGGCTCTGTAAGTGCTTTTGTGATTATTTTAACTTGGGTCAAAAATATTTTATTCAGTAACCCAGATATTACTTGTCTGCTACACCTCTAAATAAATACGTACATTGTAGTAGCCCACTCCGAAAAGGCTGAAAAAATTAACGAGCGTACGTCTTATTAATATTTAATTTTCACATTAAGCGAGAGGGCGTGTCTTATACAAAAAGAGGCGTGGTTTTCAAACACGTTCAATGTGATTGGACGAGTCTTGTAAGTATGTTTTAAAATAACCGCGCGTGCGCAGTACGGAGCGGTGTGTCGGTGAGTTCGGTTGTTGATCTCTCTGTTTATAACTTTATGTTTCTATGTAGCAGTTTAATGCTTCTTTTGAATAACTTCGAGGCGTCGAATGCGTAAATAGAATTAGTTATGCAAACGAGAATATATATAAGCCTGTTATATGTCTCGTAGCATATTAAACTTTTATTTTTCATACATTTACACTGAAATCATCTAAATTTCTCACTCCCATACGATAAGCAAAGCCATAAGAACAAGCTGCTGTTTGGATAGCAGTTCCACATTCAGCTCTCATATGTCAGTGTCGGGGTTGATTAATGATCTTGGTTTCATTACACTTGTGTCTATGGTAGACTGGGGCAATGAAGACAAGTGAGTTTGATTCATCTGACGAAGAGGACTTTGGTGAAGTGGAAGCCACACCTTTTCAGATCTCATGGTAAGCAAAACATACATATACACACTCAACAGCTGGAGAAATATTCATAGATTGAGAGTTATTTGTGGTGTGTGTGTTTTGCAGGTTGTCTCTGTCAGTGGTGGAGTGTTCCCAGTCTCTTGGCATTTGTTCCTTACCTGGTAAAATGAATGATTGAATTGTCTCTTTGTGTTTTGTGTGCTCATTTCATAAATATTAATAAACATTTCTGCTAGGGCTGCATGATTTGGGGAAATAAATTGACAAAGTTTTTTTTATAATTTAAATGTTGCTCCATGTTTGCTATGCTTGTAAAAAAAAAAAGTATAATAAGAATTAAAAATAACTCTATTTTACAGTACAACTGTAAAATTACAATACCAATACTAATTTTAAACAAACTGAAACCCTGGATCATGAGCTACTTGTGTGTAAATGATCACAGTGCCGTGGTTCACCCTGAATAATCGCAATAATCCATAACATGATGTCACTTTTATTTTAATTTATCATGCAGCCCTAATTTCTGCTCATTTCAGGATGCAGATATAAAGAAACCAGAAGAAACCTGCAGAAAGATGTTGGTGAGTCTAGCTGACACGCACACATACAGTAATGGTTTAAATCATTGGTTCTCGCCCTGGTTACAGGTCTGTTCTGATTGGTTTGCGAAAGAGCAAGGTAAAATCAATGTTAATTTCATATAATAAAATGCAACTAACTTTAGGATCGTGCATAATTAGAATAACAAAATAAAATGTCTTTTTAACCTTTAAAGGTGAGGCCAGAACGCAGTTACTAATCAAAATCCATGGTATATACCAGGGGTGGCGAACGTCGGTCCTGGAGAGCCGCAGCCCTGCAGAGTTTTGCTTCAACCCTAATCAAACACACCTGAACAAGCTAATCAAGGTCTGAAGGGTTATTAGGAAGCTACAGGCAGGTGAGTTTTAATTAGGGTTGGAGCTGAACTCTGCAGGGCTGCGGCTCTCCAGGACCGGAGTTTGCCACCGCTGGTATATAGGCACACATTCTTGTCAGTTAACTAAAGGTAGTCAAATTAGTCAGATACAAACAGGTTCTTTGGCATCCTCTCAGCCTCAAAAAAAAAAACACACCCAGACTCATGAAATCAAAATGGACAATTCTTAATTAATTGTAATGAACATTGCAGCAATTACCAAATGACAACGATCCAGTCAATTCCCTTGTGGACAAAATTGAGTCTTGTCCTACCTTTTTTTCTTATTCAAGAAGCTGTTTCATTTGGATATGTCACAATAGGGGAGTAAAGACCCCAATTTCCATTTCATGACATATGAGTTTATTTGCATAAGTATGGTTTGTGCCAACCCCCCAAAAATGTTGTGCAGTGAGTTATTAGAAAACAACAAACCAGGTAAAATTTCCTATTCAGTCTATGCCATGCTGCATTTAGAAGGGCCTGTTTATGGTTATAATAATAGATTTCAGTGTTTGTAAATTTTATGGATATTTTTGTTTTCTTGAATAGAATATATATACATATATATTTTTACTGTTTTGGTTTGCTGTTTTTGCATTTAGCAGGGCCTGTTTGTGGTTATATTAATACATTTCAGTGTTTGGAAATGTTATGGATATTTTTGTTTTCTTGAATACGATATATATACATATATTTTTTTTTTTACTGCTTTGGTTCACAGCTTGATGTCCTGACTGTGATTTGTCTGGTCGGTGTGTGTGTTTGTGTGTAGCTGAGATGTGTGATCAGGGTGTGGAGGACGTGTTTGTGTTCTGTACCAGAGGAGAGCTGATGCGCTACAGGGTGCCCTGTCTGTTAGAGGTTTATTCTCTGAATGGACTCAGAGTGCACCACCTCCCCTTCCCGGACGGGGGCGCCCCAGAGCTTTCGCAATGCAGCTGCATTCTAGAAGAACTGCAGGACTGCCTGCAGAATCAGCGCAGGACTGTCATACAGTAAGAAATACTCTTAGTTACTCAATTCAGAGATATTCCTCCACCCCCACTGAAAGAAATGTGATCAGTTTACCTTTATAACAAATTTAACAGAAACATTTTTATATATTCTGGCTGTTGTCAGACTCCTTGTGCAAACAAAAATCTCTCTGGATTTTTACAATTAATGGCAAAATGAATGTTTGGAAATGTAAACTGATATTTCCTACTGACACACTACAGCAAAAATAGAAATAACTGACTTAAAACCATTTTTAGCTGGTGAAAATACTATTTTTCTAATCATTTTGGCCACCACTGCACTGAAAAAAATATGCTAGATTTACTTAAAAATATAGTGCATCATTTTTGCATCCCTCTTCTTAAGTAAATTTCGCATGGAATTTTAAGCAGTGTTGCCTAAAAATCTTTAGTTGGCAATGCTTAAATGTTTGAGTATCCCAGTGAACGGTTTTGCTCAAATTTATTAGCTGGTGTAACACAATATTTTAAGTAGTTTATACTAATAAATTTAAGTTATTTCTACACTAAAGGTCTTGTTCACCCCATTATAAATTTTAAGCTCATTTAGATAGATAATTTTAAGTTTATGTATTTTAAAATACCTAGGTACTGCTCAATTACTTAAAATTAGTTATACATTACAATGAGTGGAAGACACAACAGACAACTGGTGAATATTAAATGACTTCTTTATTTTCTTCTTCTTTTTTTGTTTTTTTACAAATGCAACTTAAACATCTCCTAAAACATTTTCTGCTGTTTTACAGATGTAGAAACATGTCTGACTTGTTCTGAAATTTAGTTGAATGTTAGTATGTTTGAAATAGTGCACAGTGTGTGTGTACCTGGTATTCCCTACATCATGAGGACCAAATGTCCCAACAAGGATAGTAATACTAGTAATTTTTGACCTTGTGGGGAAAACAGCTTATAAATCATACTGAAATTAAGTTTTGTTTTTTTTTTATATGTAAAAATGCTGAAAATTTTCTGTGACAAGTAGGTTTAGGGGACAGAATATACAATTTGTACAGTATAAAAACCATTATGCCTATAGGAAGTCCCCATAAAACATGGAAACTAGTGTTTGTGTGTGTGTTGTTAAGGTGCATGCTGTGTTCTACCATTACACAGGATTTTGATTTGAAAATGACTAAAAGTAAAAAACAGTAAACAATCTGTAACAAATAACAGTAAGCATCAACATTCTTTTTTTTATATATATATTTGTGATGTTTTATGTTTGTGTGTGTGTGTGTGGTATAGAGTTGAGTATGTTGTTTACATAATGTTTGTGGTGTTGTATGCTTGTGTGTTTGAGTGCAGTGAAGTGCTGAGTATGTAATGTGTGGTGTTGTGTTGTATGCTTGTTGACTTTCACAACGAAACACAGCGTCTTCACGACATGGCGGAAGCAACAATACTACAGTGAGAATAAAAGTTACGCCTTCTTTCTTTGCGTGAACATTTGGGCGGCGTTATGCAAATCTTCCCACATAGTGACGTAGATATGTGGGGGCGTGTTAGAACGAGCCGTTTTAGGTAGACGTGGTTGACTCTTAACTTTTATAAAGAATATCTGTTTGGATTTGAGACTTTAGTCTTTGCAACTTCACAAATCGTCTTTATGCACCAAGAACTTGTAACACTCCAAAGAGAAATAAAAAATTGAAATCGCATCATATGACCCCTTTAACAGTTACTTACCTTCACCGTGGATGAGAAGTCCTCTTCTGAGATCTGGTTTTCTAAAATGGCCACAACAAATTGCGCGTTTCAAAGTTAAGCTGCTTGGGTCCTAAAAATTTTTGTTAATTTGACTTTTTTTTTATATATATATTGTTGACTTTACTCAAAATTACTTGTTGTTTTTCTTTATTAATTAAAGTAAACCATAAACTCAGTATTAACATTTAGTTAATAACAATAGTAACATTTGTAGCTTTAAATTAAGTAATGTGCAAAACTGAAATTTTTTTTGTAAAATCTGTTTATTTTAATGAGCCATATTTGCTGAGGGCAGGAACCATTTTT